ACCACAAACCCTTCTAATTTAGGCAAACTTTGCTGCAGCATATACCAACAGTGATGCCTTCAAAGACTACTACAATTATAAAGAAGACTGGGAGAATCTACGCCTTATCATGAGTAAGCATTAGAAATTTCCACAGAAACTTGATTAATTACCGCTAGAAAATACTAGGTAGTAAACTAAATTTAGTCCCACGTTATATCTGCAGGAAACCAGGCCGACTGTGGTCGTCTTGACAGTCTACCTCCAAAGTATAGAGAACTAATCAATTCGCTTCTAAACTCTTTGCGACAGATGGTGGCTGCTGGTGGCACGTACAAAGGAAAAACATTTGAACCGCAGCTAATGAATGGTTTGGTACGAAGAAGTTTTCTCTGGGGGAATTCTTCGATAACAGCATAGTTGAAAAATCCTAATGCCGTAAATTTTTAGATTTACGATTGCAAGTTTGAAGTTGAGGCGCAGCAACTGTTGAAGGGGGAGATTCAGGAACCAAAGCCAGATCATTACAATGTCACACTTGAGTAGGTTGAATCTATTGCGCATAGTTAGTATGTTCGATCTAGATGTGTTATTTCAAAAAAGTTCTAGCAGAATTCAAAGCAAAGCAGAACTACTTGAAAGCGTATTCTTTCGTAAAAAATTCGGATTTGTTGATAATTTTTAATGATTCGTACAAAACAGCAAATGTTTCCAGTTCATTCACATAACTATTTCAGCATGGAAGACGGTAATATGGTCAGCATTAAACAGAGATTGCTGAAAGCAGTAAAATCGGTGTTCGATTCTCAGAAGGACAAACTGAGAAATGTAGATGCAATATCCCTCATTCAGTGAAATAACCATACTAATCACAAAAGGATTTTAGATGATCAACGCGAAGGCAACTAGGTTCGGATGCTGGTCTAACTTGTTCGCTAGGAGGAACCCCAAGCTAGTCTGTGTTTATGACCGCAAGTCTGTACAATATCTTCAAATACAGCATTCTCTTTTATATAGCTCATATTTTACAGGAATGAAATAGGCAAAAGTTATGGTAGAGGCTATTGCGAAGAAGACAAACAGTGCAAACTCGTCGGCACTCAGACTTGCTGGTGGGGATTGTGCTATGATGTAGAACATTGAGCAAACCAGCAAAAAA